GGCATGACTACAGTAAATCAGATGAGACAACTTGCAAATGGCATTTTTATATATTGTCGACAAGTTTTTCTCTAAGTTTACAGTTTTGGCGAAGACTCCGTTCCCATTTGTTTAATAAAATATCCGATTCCATTAAATATATAAATATATTTAAAACATATTTGGTAGATAAGTTTCGATTTTCAGCTTATAAAATTTATTTTGCATAATTATTAGTCAATTTTAGTCTAGCCTATTCCCATAGGTAGCCTAATTCAAAATGGTCAGTTGCTACCATGCATATTATGTATAAACTTCGCTTTAACGTGCTTTGTTTCTGCACTCATATGTAGTGGAATATTATATTTGAAATGGTGCCTTATCGCCTCGATGATCGTCTTTGGGGCCAGTTTAGCGCTGAAACTTTTCTAATAACAGCATCCAAATGTGAACTTATGCCAAACTACGTGCCTGGCATCGCAATATGTAGACATACCAACGGGACCCAGCCGCTCTTTGCACCGCCGCCCACTCATCATCAATGGGGCAATCTTTGAAACGCCATTTTGGCATTTTCGAAACTTTCTTTTATTGCATACATGAGCCATTATGCGTGCTTGTGTTTCCGTTTCCGTTTCCGTTTGGTTTGCGCCGCGCCAGAGACGCAGCTCGTTGACGCAGCCATTATGCTGTCGTTGCTCCAAACGGGACAACGTCTGGCATCCTTGCCCTCGCCCACCCCATCTCTCTCCCTCTCTCTTTCTTGCTCACTCACATATGAGCCTTAGTCCTTTCAGAACACAGGCACACACACACACATGTGGTAGTTTGCCATAAATGGCCTCGTTATATGAAGTCTTATTATCATAATCCGTTGAGTTGTTGCTGCATTAATTAAATTTAATTAAAGACGTTTTGCAAAATTTATCTTGTACGTGGTAAACGTTGCAAATTGGAAACCTAGAATATTGCATAAGCCAAAATATATACATAAATATTCGCAGTACCGAGTCCTCGTTGCACGTCTCGAGACGATTATTTCATTTCGCATTTTAGCACAGACGGCAGCTAAATCAATTTCCGTAATATGCGAAGCCTTAATAATATTCGTTGCTTCCAAATAAGGCAGTGGGCGTTTGTAAGTATTACGACACATAAATTAGCCATTAAGGCACTAGCGCGCAGTCCGGCTTTAATAACAATTACAGCGACTGTTGGCAATAAAGGGTCTCCGTATCAGTAGAATACATAAGTTAAACTCAGTCTTAAATTCTAAAAATGATTTGCATTATGTGTAGGACACATCAGACGTCCTTTTACTCGTTTATCAAGTGAACAATGTATTTATTGTTTGTTTAAATATGCTTTTGTGATTCTCCTTGAATTAAGACTTCTCAGAAATAGATGGTTATAGAAAACATGGAATAGTTTTGTTTGTGTTCCTATGTTCTTATAAAGAATTAAAATTTGTTTGATATGTTCTCATTTTGCTCAAAGTGGAAAGCAAGCCGACCCGAAGTAAAGCTTGAAAGTGCGTGGTGTGAGGAGTAATGGCAGACTTATCAGATTATATTACGTTTATTATTCTAACTTACAACTATTAGAAAAAGTTTTTAAATTTGACGGAAAAAATGACATCAGGACCGATAACTTTGAATGGCGTGGCTTAAAAGGAAGACCGTGGTCTAGCTTTAAGGTTTGATGAAATTGATTTCAAAACAGAAAAAAAAAATCTTTTGTAGTATTCTTATGCAGTATACGACTTCAATGATCATCACACGGACAGGCGAACGGTATACACATCGTCATCTATTATAAACGGATGAATGTAGACAAATACCAATTTATCAATCCTCATATTTTGTATTGGAAATAAATTTCTAAATTTTATGAACCTTTGTAACCAAGAAGTATACATGGCTCACTGGTGAATTTTAATTCTAAAGAGAATAGCTCTATTATGTTTCAGTAAAATTCTACCACATTTCGAATCGAAAGAGAAACATGAGGAGGGTAGGGGAAAGTGGGTCAGATGGTAAGGTATAGTCCGATTCTTGTTAATTAAGTGCTGTTAACCTGTGAAGTTGCCGAATAACAGACTGTTATTTATAGTTTTATTTATGATTTATTTTTGGTAATTTTCATTGTTGTTTGCTTAAGATTAGATTTGTCATACAGCGTCGTTTATGTGTTGATTTTAATAGTTTATAAACTCTCATATATGATGCTTGCGTATTTCGAATGACTAAACCATTTTGAGCGAGCAAAAGCCCATTCAAATGTAATCGGCGAATATTTACGATCGTCTAATTTGGGGGTATCTTATAACATATGCATTGCACTGCCTTTTATTTACAAGAGGTGCTTATATCTTGTTGTTGTCTAATCATATGTGTAGTACATATACCTCTGTAATACATATTTGTAAGTCCTTCATTAAATTTGAATATCATTCAATTACGTATATGCCGGGTGTGTAGACATTTTTTATCAATGTCGATTTCAACTGCTCGCTGAGTGAATAAAATGTTGTTTATTTTTGTTTATTTAATTTATATTTTTTTGTTTTTGTTTTTGTTTTCTTTCTTTCGCTTATTTATTTGTTAATAACTAGGCTTCTTGCTGTTTCTACGTATATAAGTTCTTAGTGTTTTGTTAGACTAATTGATTCTTGTAAAATTTTGTGACTCTGACAGGTCGGTGTCAATGTCTTGGATGGGCTTTTGTTATTGTTGTTGTTAATTGTCAGATACGTGCGAAATAAGTGAAACAAGTTTTCTAAGGTTTTTTTTAATTATTTTCGTATTCATTTAAAAATCGCGTAAAATCATATAATACACAATTTGTCACAACTAAACTTAAACTATAACTAACAGAAAGATATCTTAGCATTAAAATTCAAACAAAAATATATATGTAAATAGCGTGTGTTAAACAAAATGCGCAACATTTTCTAGGCCATTAAACTAAACAATTATAATATATGTTTTAATTCGAATCTTCCAAAAATATTTCAAAACAAAAAGGTCGTGGCAAACAAAGTTAATCGAACACAAAAGATCTTCATTCATTCAAAATGCAAAAGGTTTTCCAATGCATAACAAAATTCAATAAGAAATTAACATGTCTATGAAATAGTATAATAATATCACTTGAACCAATTAAGGGGGCGTTGCTACAAAAGCCAAGGAAAGAAGTATGAATTTAAAATGAAATCGGAGTGAAGATAGATGTGTGCAAAATGTGAATGCAATACTACATACGTATGAATATAGTCATCAATATGATATATATATATATATATATATATATATATATATATATATTTATACATATATATGTATATATATATATATATATGCATGTATAAGTATATATAAGGTAATATTTGTAATATATTTTTGTCGTTAATTTACTTTGCTTTATTTTGTATTTGTAAATATGCGTGTGTTTAAGACTTTCTTCACATCATGTATGATAAATAAATATATATACTTTTTCGATTACTTTTAACTTGCATTACATTAACTCAACTTTTTTATTATTCTCTTATCGTTTATGCTACGTAAATTTAATTTTGGGAAGTTAAAACTCTACGTATATTGGATTCTGCTTCTCTTACTTGGCCTACTCAGTGTTTTCATTATTTGTATTTTAGATTTTATTAGTTTCACTGCAATTTTTGTTGTAGTTGTAGTTGATGTTGTTGTTGTTGTTGTTGTTGTTGCAACCTTAAGCTAATACGTATTTCAGATTTATTTGTAGTTTAGTTTTTTAGCGTTCAACATACAACGCCTGGTACACACCTTCAATATATTTTCAGTTGATTTTGTGTTGTTTTGTTTTTACATTTTAGTCACTGGCAAAACGACTTCTGTTTTCTGGTTGTATTATAGTTATTATCGTATTATTATTTTTACGTATTTGAAATCATGATATTATGCTTTTGGGTATGTTGCATACCATTCTTTACACATTACAGTACACTTAAATAGTTCTTGCATATGGGGGAATTGTTTGCGCTTTTTTAATAATTTTAGTTTAATTTCTAGTTTACGTTTGTTCACTTTTTGTTTTCGAATTCTTAAATTTACTTGCTAATATAATTAATATTAATATGGCATTGACGGAACTATTGTATTTCGTCTTAGCAAAATCGAAAAGCATTAAAAGCATACACAACAAATTACAGCAAAAACATGCAACACAATAAAATCAATATTGGAAGAGTTTTTCATTTAAAAAACAAACACAGTTTCCAATAAATATTATGTGGGTACAAAAATGTACGTACGTATCTATATATACCCATAAGTACGATGGGCTACTATAATATATCTGTAAATTCATACATGTATTTGTAAACATGGTTAAACTTTTTTACCATACTATGTAATCCTACAGCAGTCGTAAATAATTTTACAGTTAAACTCACTAATTCCTCCATTAGGCCGATGACCATTTGACTATAAAAATCGCTCGTTGCTTGCTCTCCTGTGAGTCTATACGATTCAGCGTTTCTGCCCTATAGCATTACTTAATCAATTTACCGTTATTTCATATAGATCAAGGGATTCATTAATGTTACGATGATGTGCCCAGTGGAACAGGAGTTGTTTGTAACGGTTACCAATCTTTTAGACAAATAACTGATTAATTTTGTATAGGCATAAGCCATTTGGACTATCGATTAGGCAAGCTTGGAAATAAAAATTGCTATCATTGATACTTTGATAATTGATCTGATTTATATCTCTATCTGAAAAGGAGATTAAGAGTGCCGCAAGATATTTCTTTTCCCGATTTACCATTCCCCATGCGATTTCCGATCCATCTCCAGCTTGAATATCAGACATACGGATAGCAAGACGAACACTCCATAAATCCAAACTACTCCTTTTACTACGTAAAAGAGTATAAAAAGCGGAAATGGGTGAATAGAAGTATTTAAATATATAAATTTGCGAAAGCCTTTACAAACATTATTACAAATATTAATATGAGTCAACTCCTAAACAAATTGTCTGTGATCCACTGCGGACATCATTGATCTTGCTTCTGTTCTGTATAGATTTACATATGTACTTGGCTTTAAGATTATATATTTCTATGCGTTATATGTAGACTTAAACGACTATTTACTATGTAAAACTTTACGTATTTGAGTTATCAACTTTGTTTTGTTTTGCTTTTCGTATTACACAGAAGAGACGAAAAACGCCAAACTCAAGGCATCAAGCGACGACGATGACGATGGCGGTGACATAGGTTGTTAGGAGTGGTAGTGACGGTAACGGTAACGGTAATGATAGTTGAATGATCCACTTGCCATTTAGGAGTTGACCTTACTAACTGCCTTGAGAAGATCGTGATTGCTTTTGTCAAGGGCACTCATCATTCCCAGATTTCCACCGAGGCCAGCTCCCAGACCCGGTCCAAGGCCAGACCCAACCCCAACGCCCACTCCGACACCCATGCCCAAGCCAAGTTTGAGATCATTCTGACCGACGACGGAGTGATGCAAGTGTCCCGGATTGTGTGAAATGATCGAGTGATGATCCTGCTGTTGTTGCTGCTGTTGTTGGTGCTGTTGCTGCTGCTGCTGTTGCTGTTGCTGCTGCTGTTGCTGTTGCTGCTGCACTTGCTTATTCTGCTGGGCGGATTTCATAGTTTCCTGAGCCTTCATTTTCTCTTGCTCCTCACGATCTCGACGTGCCTGCAATGTGAAGATAAGGACGAAGCATGTTAAAGACGTAACTTGCTGTGCTGCCGATTGAATCCATCAAATCGACTTGCTCCAGGCAACTTACCTGTTCGTTAATCTCTTTGACAGCGCGCAGCTCTTTCTTCAATTTCATGCGCCGATTCTGAAACCAGATCTTGATCTGGCGCTCGGTTAAACAAAGCGCATGCGCAATCTCTATACGCCGGCGCCGCGTCAAGTAGTGATTGAAATGGAACTCTTTTTCAAGCTCCAGCGTCTGGAAGCGTGTGTACGTCTGGCGGCCGCGGCGACGGGGGCAGCCGTTGGGGCCTTTTCAAATAAAAAAAGAGAACAAAGAAAGTCGCGTTAGTCACGATTGTTTTGGTACTCGAATACTCTTAACGAGCTGCGAAACATGTTGTCTGGCTGCCAAAAACGGAATTTCTTCTCGCTGTACGGCTACAGCAACAGCAACACATATGAGAACGAGTCTTGGCTCGAAAAGGCTTGTGTCCGTTAAGCCACTTGATTTGTAGCCAGAGCAACAACAAATTTTCTTGCTCATTTGGAAACTGCTTAATTCGCACCAAGGAGTCGCGAATGGGTAAGGGCAACGCAGCAAAGCGAACGGAATTGTGAATGCATAGCAAATATCTGCTGCAAATATCGAACACAAACAAAATAAATAATTTTTGATATCCAGGCCAGCTATGACGTCAGTCGACAGCGAATCGCGGCAGGACATCAGCTCCCTTGGGGGTCGACAGACAGCTAGCCGGGTTCTGATTCTGGTTCCGATTTCAATGGCGATTGCACGGCATGTAAAGGGTGAAGGAGAAGCAGCTTTTGCAGCACCAACTCCCGCTGGGTTGAGTGAAACGTTTTCCATGCATTTCTGTCTCACTTTTCTCGATTTTCTTTGTTGCTTTGTCTGTCTGAATGTTTTTTGTTTTATTTTTTTTGTAATTTTTCACGCTACCTGTGCGAATTTTTTGCGCGATAGTGCGTGGATGATGCAGAAAAGGGAAAAGTAGAAATGGGAATGTGTTTCGTGTTTATGTTTCGGAAATCAAAATTTTGCTATCTACAAATTGCATGGTCAGGCAGCACTTTTCCCGCTTGCTGTTTTATGACAGCACCTTTCAATTTTTTGTTTTTATTTAAAAAAGGTTTTCACGTCAGCGGCATATTTTTTATGGTTGGGCAAGTTGAGAAGTGCCGCGTACAAAACAAGGGACACATTTTGCGTAATATTTTGAAAGGTGCATTTGTGCTGACTTCCACTGTAGTTGTAAATCATAAATCCTAGCTCAAACATTTTTTAATTTTCCGCAGGATGGGTTTCGTTAACTTCAGGAGCCAGAATGTAAGCCCAATCTGAAACCCGATTGAAAACATCTTATAATATATACTATGAGTAGTATATATATGAATTCATTCTGACTGTCATCAATTCAATTGCTTTAATTGCACGTGCATTTCTGAAGAATACAAATGGCCATAAAAAACATTCAAGTTTTTCGACAGCAGAAACTTTGTCCCCTCGAAACAACTTGAATTCTAATCAACCCCAGTAAGCAGCAGACAGAGAACACAAATGGTAAACTAATCTAAATTATTTACACGCTACGCTGAGCAGCTACAATTCGTCCCATAAATCACGACTCCCAGGACACACGCGCCCCTAAAAGAGATTTACGACACTCGCAGAGGTGGCGCACAGGAGCGAGCGAGATGGCAACACTGTGCAAAGGAGTGCTGGAATCCAATATGGCTGCCGCATTGTCTGTGTAGGACAGGTAGACACACGCATACACTGACATATACGAAAACATGAAGAATGCGGGAGCGTCGTCATGGCAACGGCTGTTGTTGCTGCCGTTGCCGTCGCTGCTGTTGGCAGAGCGACGTCGACTTCGGCGCTGCCGTTCGGTGGTGAGTCGGCGCACAGCTGAGCGAGCCAAGCGAAACCGGAATTTGACAGAGTGGAGTTTGCATCGAGTCGAATGGCAGCGGCATCGACAGAGAGCGCAGGACCAGAAGTCTATCTTTTCAAATGTGTGAGACATATTGATTTTAATTTTTTTAATGGCCGTCAATGGACGACTCAACTCGTCTGCTTGCACTTAATGAACTTTGACTCATAATAACAAAACGATCACGCTCTTTGACTAATGGAAACATCACAACTAAATTTGGTGGAAATTGCATTCTTATAGTAATTGAAAGCAAATTTTCAAACTGGTCATTGATACTAATATTTGTATTTTAAACATATATAACTAAATATTTTTTTTTGTAGTAGTCTTAATTTTTTTTTAATTTCAATAAAGTTACTTAAGACATTTGAAATATAAAATCGATTATTAATATTCACAAAATGTTTTATTACTTCAAAGAAGATTTTTCAAGTTTTTAGTAGCAAAAGTTAATAATATAAATTATTAAAGTCGATGAAATAGGCATTAGAATCTCTACAATTATAATGCATGCATCCATTAATTTAATGCTTATATTAGTAACATTAGCTAAAAAAAGCTTTCTGTGTTTACTATGATTGAAACTCGTTTTGATTTTAATTGATATTATTTTATCCGCGGCTTCTACTGAATTACAACTCAGTTGTGCAGATAAAAGTCAATGAATTTCCTGTGCATTTAATTAGCGGTAACTAGAAAACCAGTTGACTCTGTGCAAAGCAATTCCAACTGAACCGGTTCATTGCACAATTCCGTAAAAAATCAATTTTCATTTTGTAATTAAGAATCTATTAGCCCACCATAAACTGACGCTGATATTGATTAATGGCTCGATGATTCTTAGCAGGCAATTTAGGATAATATGAGCTTAACAAATTGCGAATCTGGGATGAGAAAATCCAATAAGTAAGTGTGAGAGAGAGAGAGAGAGAGTGAGAAAGAGAGAAAGAGACAGAGGGTAAGACAGCGGCAAGGTGAGGTAAGATTCCTCTTAATGGAAAGGCGTCCCCAGGCACCGCTGTCTTGCTTATTTTCAATTGGTCGATCTATAACAATGACATTAACAATTAAAAATATTCATAACAATAATAAAGGTAATTGTTCAATAAACAGCGGCGCTTATTAACAAGCTTTAACCACATAAAAAAGCTGTCTGAAACTTATGATGACATTAAAATCATAAAAACAATTCAGCGCGTACAATAAAGATACAAGCACACACGCACATGCATATACATATGCATATATAAATATATATTTTTATAAATTTATATAGAGAGGTTCGTAGACTAAAAGGCGGACAAGAGGTTATGTGTGTCAGATTTATAAACATGTATGTGTGTCTATTCAATACTAGTTTACACACAGTATATATGATTTTAGACACACACATTTATGTTGTGTGCTGTGTGTGTGTCGGTGTCCGTGGGGACGGCGACATCAACGAAAGCATTGGTTTTTTGTTTATCTAGCGACACGAAATTGTTTTAAGTATAAACAAACATTTTGCTTCCATTTTCTGTGGCTTTCTTATTGTTCCGATTAATAACAAACATATTTACATATCGTTTGACATAAACATCTGAAACATTGTGGTTTGTGTTATTTTACGTCTTGCTGTTGTCAATTGTGATTTTATACTCAGCCACGCAGTAAAAGGAGTATATAAGGTTATGTCTTATTTGCCGTGCTATCCGTCCATCTATTCATATAAATGCAAAGCATAGAAGTTGCTGCAGTTGAAGCTTGAAGTTTGGAATATTTATTCTAGTGTGTATCCGCGGCTTTAACTTGCCCACTACGGGGAAGGGCACACCCGAAATAATAATATATTTAATATATTTTAAATAATATATTTTTCAGCCATGAATTGTATTATTTTTGGCGCTATTGGAGCTAGAGACTTGTATTGAGTATTATGCAGTCGGTCGCAAAATTCTTTGCTCTTTGTTTTTTTTTTCGTTACTTTTTTTAATTTTGCAAAGGCGAATGCTTCCATGTTTAGAGACACATTTTCAATAAATTCCTTGACTTTGCTGTTTCGCTACGGAATTTCCGACAGTTGAAGAAGATTTCTATCAATTTGTTTGTTATCTTTGCATGAGCAATATTTATAGCAGTTTCCATATTTGTTTTCATTTGATTTCAACAGCCTGTTTTTTTTTCTGACTGCTGCTGGTTTTAAAGGAAGCCAAAAAATATTTGCTAAATATAATTTATAGACTTATTATCTTAAATCGTAGTAGCAATATAAGCTAGCATTCATAACATCTGTTTCAATTTACTTGCGGTTCTACAAACGTTCCAAATATTGTAGCTCCAATCAAAAAAAAAAAAGTACGAAGTCTAAAGAGTTTCTCCTTCTACACTTAAAGCATGTATTTGCGTCGGGCTTCGTATGTTTTATGCTGATTTGTTTATATTTGTTATGCATTTTGAAAACGAACTTCCCGGATGGAATGTCGAAAGATATATAAACAAACAGCAGGCATTTAACAAGAATACAACTCACACACATATACATCTTAACGAATACAAAATTAACAACGCGCCTTCCAAATATTTTTGGCTCCTCAACAATATTCCCCGGTTCCAAGTTGGCTAGCCCGTTGTGCTGCTATCTCCTGGCTCATTGATTCGACGAGTCTTAAGACGATCTTTTGAGTATTTAGCACAAATTGCTGCGTTTTTTCGTTGAATACAAAACAAAATGGTTTCCCCAGAGACTATATATAGGACTATATATATGTATATATATCAGGATATGCAAATACTAATTAAACTTTCAAAGAAGAGCTGCTTAGAGGCGACTGGCGCCCTGATGAGGCTAAGGCGCAACACCTAAGCAACATCTGGCGCCTTTTGTGTCGGCTTTTAGCAGACAGCAAGGACAAAGATATTGTTGAGTGTGGGCGGGGCAGGTAAGCGAGACATTTGCTTGCCAGTCAAAAGAGGGTGGCACAAACGGCTGCTGCTGCTGCTGCTGCTGTTGTTGCTACTGCAAATAATTTATGTTTATTAAATTTATTTAAGTTTAATCAGAGCCGTGGCATTCTCTACTGTAAGCTGCGTCAGGGTAGATCGGATGGGGTGTTGCTCCCGAGGGGTGGCAAAGCTGCCAACGTTGGGCTGCTGGAGTCGGGGATGCTTTCTGTGCAATTTATGTGCAACGCGTTGCTAATGTTGTTGTTTTCGTAAGCATTGCCCTCGGCTTGTCCCGCCTTCTTTATCCCCATCCATATCGCTGGGACCTCAACTCCAGCCACGCCAGCAACAGCAACGGCAACGGCAACGGCAACAACGGCCCACAGTGTCTGCATAAATTGCTAATTGTGTACTTAATCTTAGAAA